TTTGTTACCTTAGAATGACTCGTTTTTGGGGAAAAGGAGTGGGGTCCTCTTCCATAGAGGCCACCATGTTGAACCACCATGTTTTGGGTGGACCCAGTGTTTTTTTTTTTCTTTTTTTGCGGCCACTGCAGTTTTTCATACACACTTGAAGAAGGCTGAGCTGTATTCAAATGACTGCAATCTACAACTTCCCAGCAAGATGCCACTAAATCCTCCACACTGGTGCTTTAATGTATAAATGATAATAATCAGATTATAGACAGAGGCCATTCTGCATAATAAGCTTTTTATAAAATGTATATGTTGTTTATATTTTCGTACTTTTAAGTGAGTTTTGCATACAGGACTTCTACTTGTAATGGAGTATTTTTATAGTGTATATTCCTACTTTTACTTATGTAAATTATCTGAATACATCCATGGTTTTTTACTGTATATTCAATGATGGAAAACTTTGTTTTTGGCTTGATTTGCTCTGACTTTTAAGCTTATCTAACCAGTTTTGAAGATGTTTCATAAATCCAAATACCACAGAAAAGTCAACAAGTCAACAACAAAAATACTATGAGCAATACAGTTTTCTGTGGCTGTTGGACACACATATAACCCTGCAGGTTGAAAAGCATCATGGTGGGCAGGCAGCCGTCCCTACACAGCAGACTCCTGGTTTTGTGCAAGTTTGATGGAGTGAGACAGGGAAGGGTTTTTGGGGGTGGGACGATTGTACCATCTCCCCATGTGGTCCCCCCCCAGGTGTCCTCACCCTAATCCTGTTACATGTGTCCCCCATTAGCACTAATGGAGCGGCCATTGTCCCTCGTTGTGTGCTGTTGTGCCCTCGGCCCAGTCACCTTGAGTCAGTAAACTCAGCCCTGTCATGTTTGGACTGCTTCCCACACCCAGGGGTCTCCATGACGACGATGAACACCCCTCCACACACACACACACACACACACACACACACACCTCCTCCCACCCACTGACACCGTTCAGGCTGCTGGGACGCCATAGAAAGTGGTGGGAGACTCACAAGACTCTCATAATATCAAAAATCATATAACTTATATAAGTGTGTCACTTGTGTCAGACTGCTGCTTCTTTTTTGTTTGCAGTTTTTAAAAGAGAAGAAAACTTACTGTCCAGAAAGAAAACTGAACAAAAATGAATACAATTGTAAATAACATTAAGAAAATTATGCTTTTACTGTTTTTGCTTCTCTCTTGCAAAGGAAAAGCAAATCAGTACATCTTTGCAAATTATTATTAAACCCATCTGTTGCTTTCTCTTTGTTTTTATACCTTTCATTTTGTGGGTTGTGCACTAAAACTCTGCTGTTTTTTTCTTCTTTTCTGCCTCTTTTATCTTCCTCTTCACCTTTTTTTCCTTCCTGTAAAGCAGTTTGTTTGTAAAAGGTTTCCTGCAAATCATCGAAAATGCACCTGCAGGGAGTAAAAGCGAAATGACTTAAATATAGTTCAGAGTTAACCTTTAAATACAACAATATATCTCTGATTGAAGGGTCTGATCACACAAAACACATCAAAATAAAATGACACATTTTTCCACCCACCATATTTAGCCTTGCAGATCATTTTGTTTTTATTTGCCCACTTTTTGATCCACAAACTTAACAGCCTTGCATCTTTGCAACAACAT